TAAGATCCTGATTTTTTTGTAAAGCTGCTGATTTTGTGAAAACTGGGGGCCTGCTTCGGGTTGAGTCTGTAAGATAAAAATACTGGCCTCATTCCAAACTTTTAGGAGCCCACGGCAAAAGACTTGAAGCTGTCACATTATGCACATGTGTACATGCTTAAGCATTATAACAGACCGTCTAATCTTCACAGTATTTTGGTTTGAGGGGATTTAACACCTGTCTCACAGTTTCTAAACAAAGTACCCTTCGGTAATTAATTATAGATGTGGCAACTGTCAACAATGTAACTTTACTTATAAAACTCCAAACTTTTAAGCATCCTCATTCTGCAGATTTTTTTAAATGCACTATTTCCTGTAAAACCACTTGCTCTTGTGGTCTTTGCTATGTGAGCAAAAGTAGACCTCAGATGTAGACCTCTAAAGACTCGGATTTCAGAAGATTGTTGCGCCATTAGAAACCAAGATTTCAAAAGTCTGGTTGCTCAGCATTTTGCTGCTTTTAGACATTCGATTTCTACTTTACATTATGTCAGAATAGAATTAGTCAAATGTTCAAGGCGTGGAGGTGACATTAATAAATTACTTTTGAAACATGAAGATTTAATGAAGATTTTGACATTTGTTCATTTCATTAAGGTTTTTTTGGTTCATGCAGGTGATATTAATATCATTATTAATGTTGTATGATTAGAACTACTTTCACATTTTGTAATTTTCTTTTTTCCCATGGCTTTGTGTGTGTATGTGTTTTCTTTTTGGTAATGTATGTACTGTATATGTATGTCTTTTTTTTTTTTTTAGTCATGTGACTAATTACCTGGTAGTATAATGGCTTATTGGTTTAAATTTTTAATTGTCTGGTGAAGAGCCTTTGTGCTCGAAACATCACCTGTGTGATAGTCTATTAAATATTTGCATTTTGAAGATTTGGTGTGCCGTCTTTTGTTTTCTTTTCATTGTTTTCTTCTTTTTTTGTCGCGCACCCAATTTGAGTATTGAGTACAATGTGTGTGCTTTTGTTTTTGTTCATGTGTACATACTGTACCTGGTTTGCCCACCTTGCACTCTTCCTCTTTAAACACACAGCAGCTTTCAAATCTCCACCTTCCTCGAATGTTTATCATGCCAGAGCGGCTCCCAATCGCTCAAACACAGGGTTAGTCGTACAAGGACACGGCACATGATTTCTGACTCGACTGCTACACTGTGTCATATGCAGCAATCCAACAAGTTTCCAGTGACAGGTCATTTGTCTTTCCACACTACATGCAAAATATCACACACAGCCTAATTATACAGGGCTAAGACCAACTGCTCAACTAGTTGTTCAGACAACCTGTTGACTAGACTTTCATGGTAATATTTAGTTGTGCACATTCCTCACAGATACAGTAGAAAGTGATAGAAAATTCCTTTGGAGCGAAGGGGAAGGGGATGAAATTTCCAGTCAGTGGTACTAAAAAAAAGCGCATTGAAATTTCTCAGAAACAGATAAATGTGACTGCCAACATTTTTTTTATGTTGGTTCATGCACACATCTTTGCATTTCAGAAGTGAAATGTACAGTGAGAGGTGCTAAAAGGTTAAAGCTCTATCATATTTGAAAATAACATAGCTCCTACACTAACCCCAGCCCTAGGGACAACTGATAGTATTAATGAAAGAAAAATGTAGTATTTTAAAATTTTGCCATTATATTATGTTTCTACTTGGCTTTGAGTTGTTTTGTCAAACCGTGTTTCACAGGACTCCACATTGCAAGTTCACCACTGTACCAGGTGTGCTACAGAGCAAGCTTACTACATCAGAAAAGCCATATGAATCTGGAAATATGAGGCAAAAATGTATTAGTTTACAAAACCAATCTCTATGTTAGACATTTTTGAGGTCATAACATAGTGTTTAGTCTTCATTAGTGAGTATTTGTTAATTGATAATCTGTCCTGTAATCATATGTGAAAAGGAATAGAAGTTGTTGGTGTTTTACTGCTACTAGTGTTCATTTCAGTTAGAATTGTATGTATATATACGTTTTTGGAGTTTTGCAAAAATTTAAGTCAAGGCACTTCAATAGATTAAATTAAATCTCTGTATGAGTGATTGTGTTATAAAATTAAATCTACAGCAAATACAAAATAAGTTGTAAATAATGCAGAAGTTGTCAAATAAGGGCAAACTTCTTTGGTCTTTTGAAGTCCAGATTATTAAAATATAATTTAATGATGTGGCAAACATTTTCAAAGTTATTTAGACTGTAATATAATTAATATTATCAATCAATTATCAATGAAAGACAAAATATCTTTAAAGTTAGCATAAAATGAAAATTCACCCTATCGATTTTCTAAATTAATCTTAATGATCTCATTGTAACCAATTCATCCATGCATAAATTTTTTTCTTTTTTTAACCTCATAATTTTTTGTCAAAATGTGAACTCGATCTTCCAGTGAAAATGACATACTTCTCTTTGGTGATGTATGCAGGACTGCAATCTCACATTTATCTCCATCCAATCAACTGACTGATTGAACCAAGTCTTCATTCTACATTTTTGTTTTCATTTTCAGTAACCCGTTTCACTCGGTGTACAGTTGTGCTCAAAATTATTCATACCCTTGATAAATATGATCAAAGAAGGCTGTGAAAATAAATCTGCATTGTTTATCCACTTGATCTTTCATTCAAAAATTAAAAACAAAATCTAACCTTTAATTAAAGTGAAAGTGAGGGAAAATCACATTATGAAATAAATATTTTTCTCTAATACAGTAAGAGGACGTGTGTCTATATCTGCCTAATGCACGGTGAGGAGGAGAGTTTGAGTGGCCAAAGACTCCAAGGATCACAGCTGGAGAACTGCAGAAAATAATTGAGTCTTGGGGTCAGAAAGCCTAAAAAAAAAAAAAAAATGTTGTTTGGAACAAAACTAGAAAAGAAAACTCTCTCATCCAAAAACAAACTCCAGCATATTTATTTGCTAAACACGACTGGAACTTTAAACGGGACTGGGTTCAATGGTCAGATGAAACTAAAAAAATTAGCTTTTTAGCAGCAAACACTCAAGATGTAGTGAGATTTAATAATGAGATTTCTCTCCCATTTTAAATTCTTATTCTCCAATGAAAGGTTAGATTTTAGTACATTTTTAAAATAAAATATCTAAAGGATTGATGATACAGATTAAATTTCACGGCCTTCTTTGATCATATTTACCAAGGGTATGAATAATTTTGAGCACAGCTGTGCATCACAATACGGAACAAAGATCTGTCACTAATTCTGTTACATCGCAGAAATCCATTGAAAAATCCTTAATATCTAATTTTGCTACATTGTTTTTGGCTGTTACTTATAGAGCACATATACAGAAAATGATTAAAAGTACTAAATATTAACCTCAACAGGTTACAGATCACAGGAGGAATGAGACTTTGTTTTTATAGCATTCATATGTGAGAATCTTGAAGCTACCCCTTCAAATCAGGTGATGTTTGGATGGTCTATCAGTTCTAACTGCAAGGAGCCTTCATCCAGTTTACAACAGTAATAGTGAATTGAATTAACTCTGGAGGTGTGTTGAAGTTTCATCATATCTCTGCTAATTTGTTCCGTCAAGTTGTTTATGAAGTCCTGCAGTGTTGGAAAGTGTTGCATTTTTGCAGTGGTCCGAAAAGTAAAAACTTTACCTGGCTGACATATCTCATAGGAGCCTGTGAAATTTGGTGCTTTCATGAATCTATGTTGGTAATGTTGATGTGCCATCCAAAATTAAGACATGAAGACACAGCTTTCTTATTGGTGTATTCATTCACAGCTAGTAACATTGTCTCCACCTTCTTTTATTTGTCTAAGAATGCCAGTATTTAACTTCTTGTCATTGTTTCAGACATCAGTATTTTTTTTAATAGATGGTGTTGTTTCTGTCTTTATCACAATCTCCTCAACACCGTTAGTGTGCAATCTTTCATAGTCTTCGAGTCAATGATCGGTTTCTTCTTTTTTCGTGAGGACCCGTGCTACAGAGAGTGAGGCTGAAAGAGCTTTCTCTTGCTTGAAACATGATCTGACCATGATAGCTTGTTAAGCTTTGTACTTTGTCAGTGAGTAACAGAGCCTGGAGGAAATTGTGTGTTGAAGTTTGAGTCCTTGGACTTGAAGTGCCTTCTCAGATTGTACTCCTGTATCACAGCACAATGCTTGTTACATGGCAAACTAAAAACATATTAGAAATTGACACTGAAATTGAAAGGAGATTCCAAAGACATTAGAAACACACTCATCAGTCCATTCTTTGCTTAACTGTCCAACTAAGCCCACCCCCACCCCCCAAAATGTCTAAATAAAATTTTAGCCATAAATTATTCACCCTCATGACATTCAAAACCCATACGTCTTTGCAAGTAAATGGGTAATTACACCGTTTAAGTTATGGATTGCTTTTCAGCTGTGGCAATGTCACAATCAAGTCATTTGTATTCATGCAGCTTCGTCTGACGGGATTTTCATCTGAAATTAAGTAGGTGCCACTTCCATGAAGCATAACCAAGGGTGACATCATGGGAAATAATTACCAGCGTTTTGCCAGATGATTACACACGAGGATTCCAAATTTCCTTACCATCCTCCACCTCTTTTTCTACCCTTCACATGTTCACATCTTCTTTATAATCAGCATTGTTTTCTTTGTGTTGCAGGGTAATGCTTAGTCTCAGAAATGCCGTACGTAGATCGTCAGAATCGGATCTGTGGCTTTCTAGACATAGAGGAAATGGAGAACAGCGGCAAGTTTTTACGTCGCTACTTCATTCTGGACACAATGGAGGGCAGCCTGGTGTGGTACATGGATAACCCTCAGGTACCTACCCATCTTCATTTCTTTCACCCTGTCAATGTATCGTTAAATGGCTCTTAATTCTACCTGGCCTTCCTTTGTTTTAATACTTCTGTTGAAGTATTGTTCATGCTATACATGTAATTTTATCAAATATTGGCAGTATGGTGTTCCTCAGGGGCTACTAATTGGCCCAGTAAAGTTTCACATAGTGTATTTAAAAAAATATCAGAATAGTATGATTACCATAACATTCAGTTTTTGTGCATTCTTCCACCTATGTGGACACAAACTCCACAACTGAATCTACTGCACAAAACTTACAGCAACTAATGTAGTCCAGTTCTCAAACGAATGACTCTTATTATCTATTTAGTAAATCAAAAACATTGAATACTATTACTAAATTAATTAATAGCTGTTGCTGAAATAATCAGACTTACTTACTGAACTACAAGTTATTATTTTCATCGTGTCTGATCTCAAAATTAACCAAAAACATGAAATCTGAATAATTTTTGGCAATATATTGCTGAAGTTGGAAAATACAATAATAATGACTTTTTTGTCTCAAATATTTCTTACTCAAAAGTACTTAAAGATAAGTTAATTGGACCATTAAGGAACTAGAAGCATTGAGAGGAATCTGGCAATAGTACCAGACTCACTAAATTTCTTACGATTTCCATCCCTAGTTACTGAAAACACGTGGGTAAGACTGTCTTTTGGGCAGTAACTGTAGAGAACTGCAGAGAACTGCACTGTCAGTGCTGTCAGAAGCAGGAAAACCATAAGCCACAGTTAAACTTGTTCTGCTATCACAGTTAGAATGTTGATATGCAAAACATTGTGTGATATTAACATTTCCTCTCCTACACACCTTTTATCATTATAGCTTTGGAAATCATCAGTTTGTGAACTTTCTGCACAGACATTGACTGTTTTTACACTGAAACTTTGCTGTAGAGAAGTTTACTTCCCATAAGCATGTAGGTAAAGGATATGAGTGCCATGGCCTCTGTTGGACTTTATAATCTCATAAAGTGTTGGAAGGCATTGATCTGTCTTTGCCTCCAGACCACTTTAACCATTCAGATCGAGCACAGTTACTGTGTTTGTATGTGCGTAAATGTATTTGCATATGTGTGGGCCACACTTTGCTTTACTGTGCAGTGTGCACTTTTGTAAGGGTGTCTTTGTCTGAGACTCCAGACTAGCAAACTAAATTGTTCCTAACTTTATTGAGTTACATGGAAGGAACTTACAAGGATGGTAATTACAATGAGTTTGATGAAAAATACCTGTGTGTCATACATAACCTTGCATTTTTCCCCCCATTCGACTGCCTATGTCTTGTTTTTCATAGCAATAAAACTTTCTGTGTGAACAGCTGCTTAGAACTAACAATATGTTCTACATTACGACCCTTATATATACAGTGGTGTGAAAAAGTGTTGGCCCCCTTCCTGATTTCTTATTTTTTTTGCATGTTTGTCACACTTTAATGTTTCAGATCATCAAACAAATTTAAATATTAGTCCAGGGTGGCCACGGGTCCTTAAAAAGTCTTAAAATGTCTTAAATAAAGTTTTTCTAAAATAAGGCCTAAAAAAGTCTTAAAATGTCTTAAATTCAGATTCAGTAGGTCTTAAATATTTTTGGTCACATTACCACAAACATTTCTCCAGTCTAACGGACCCACTGAGTGTCCATCAAGAGTATTTTTCCCCCCCGCTGTAGTTACCGCGTCATCAGAGAGAGAATTGCGGTTACAGAATACAGTCGAACACCAGCTCGCTGACCAGCCTCCGAACTACTTTAAATGGGTTAATGCAAGTTTACTGAAAAATGGCTTGAGAATTGTACTTGCCCGACAGGACTAATAGCCTGATTAAAACTTAAGTGACAAAATATAATAACGTATCAAAACGCGCGGATGATTCTTCTGATTTTATTACATTCAGCTTAAACAACGATTGATAATTGATAGTGTATTTCTATTATCAATGTCGCGCTGTTGAGGCTCGTGCTGCCTGTCTCTGTGAGAGATTCTCATGGACAAATCAAATGAGCGTACGGCACACATAAAAAAACTCACAGAACAAACATACTGAGGTAAAAATTCAAAATGTTTAGGGGAGGGGGGCCACACGCTTTCTCACCCCTATATATATATATATATATATATATATATATATTACCACTTTAGTTTGGGGACCAGTTCTCACTATTAACTAACCATAAGCTCAATAAACTTCTAATTTGCAATTAGATTCTCCCTCCCTGCAATTCACTCTCCAAAGCCACACCTCCTCCAAAACACACGAAAGCGAACAGGCAAACCAGAGGCTAACCAGCGACACAATGAGAGACGGCGTTGGTGGAGGGGTTTAATGCAATTCTGTCAGAGTACCTCATGTCTCATTCACCGGTGACAAAACATTACAGTACAAAACACATAATATTAAAAAAATAATGCCTTCCATTCTCGCTCGGTCTGCAATAGCATAATGGGACGCGCTGATGACGTATCATGTCTGCGCATGATACGTCATCAGATATGATTGGACGAACATATTTTGGTCCTATGCCTTCCACAGACAATATAAATACATTTAGACCACTTAACTTAGTGATTGCTATCACGATGTGAAGAGACTTTCATCCAGCATAACAAAAAATGTTTTTGAACCAAATCACCTACCCTGCCTTTTAAGTTTAGATATGGGGTTGGATTAAGGGATCTAAAATATGGCCATTCAGAATAAGGCATTAACATGTGCTTTATAGGTACTAATAAACAGCTGGTATGCTAGTAATATGCATGCTAATAAGCAACTAGTTATTATATATTATATATTCTGCACTCATTTTCACTCTGGTTTAATGTGGTTGTTTTGGAGTAGGATCAGAGAGAAAGCATTGACATTAACTGCTCTGATGCTTTCAGTGCCTTAATGTCATTTAGCTTGGAGTAAATGAGGAAACCACAGGTGAAACATGACCAGAACCAGTTCACTGATGAGGTGCCCATGTCAGGACCTGTCTTTTTTTTATTCTTCATGTTCTTTCTTTGTTTCTGTTAATGGATTCTCTCTTTTCTCTTGGCTGCTGCAGGTTCTATGCCAATCGCTTTATCTAAGACTCAGTCAGTAGTAGCTCCAGCCAGCATCTTTTATTGAAGCCATGTCTGACTTTGAATAATTTAACTCACTGCATCTGTAGATGTGTGCTAAAACTTTCATAGACCCCTGTGCAATTCTACAACTTTGGAGAATACCGTACACTCGCCGTAAATGTATTCTGTCAACGTTTGTTTTCAGATACTGCTCAAAACAAACTTCTCAAGTCCGTGTGTATCATTTTATATTCAGAATTTCAGCTCTAATTACTTCAACCCTCTCCTTCTACAGAATCTTCCAGAAGGAACATCCAATGTCGGCTCCCTCAAACTAACATATATATCCAAGGTTTGTAATTGATCTGTTATTTCTGACTAATGATGACTAGTTATTACCAACTTTATATTTTAAATTGTGCAGCTTGTTAAGAAAAGTGACTCTACGCATTCAGATTCACCATTTTGGCCATGTGATCCAAACTCTTATATGTAATAAAACAGCTTTTTTATATATATACTGACAAGCTACCCAAAATCGCTGGCGATTCATTGCCGATTTTGAACGCGATTTTGTGTAGCTTGTCAGTGAACTACGGCTCTGTGTAGTAAATGCCGCTCCGTCTGAAAGCACGTGCTGGAGATTTACTACTAATCACCAGAAGCGGCTTTACTGACGAGATGCGCATGAAAATCGCATTCGATTTTTTGCACAGCCCTAGTGTATGCATATGGGTACAATATTATTCATCTGGTTGTATTTTGTCATTAAAGGTTAGCGACGCCACCAAATTGCGTCCAAAGGCTGAGTTCTGCTTCGGTAAGCAAGTGACGTTTCTCTCTCCATGTCACTCAGAGGATGCAGTACACGGAAGGTAGGGCATGTTAGACCATGACCCCTGACCCCGGCTATTGTTTCTGAGATCAGAGCCAGAGACAATCGCACACTGGGGGTTCTGGGACTTTACCCGGTGGAGTTAGACGAGAGAGACTCACTGTCAGGAGTGTAAATGAGCAACATAATACAGATACTAAAATTAGTCACATGTTGCGTCTCCTACTCTAAAGTGTTTAATAAAGTATTAGTCTGACCCTCCTGGTGTAATTCAAGCCCAGTGAACACTGTTTGTTCTTTAACTTGTGATGGGAAAGTCCATACTTTTACTAGTATTATGGATTACTACTGTCATAAAATTAAATCTTGATCACAGTTGATTAATAAGCTTTTTTGGAAACATGGACAGTAAGTTTCACGTGTGTTAAGTTGACCACATGAACACAGTTACTATAATAACTGCCTCTCTAGCCAGCCACACTAATGGGATGTGAGAGTTTTCACTTTTAGACTTGCACAGAAAACGATTTAACTGGATTTTAGATGTTGTTTTTGTGACTTGTAAAGACAACATTTCATAACATTTTAGCTTCTAAATTGTTACGGTTAATTAACAGTGACATTTAGAAATGAGAAGTACAATCTTTCATCTTGCAGTATGTCAGTCCCACTTATCAGGAAAGTGAGCGTACACACACACACACACACACACACACACACACACACACAGTTTGACTGAATCATACCTCATTAATAGCGGTTCACTTCCACAGATTAGGCCAATTGCATTCATATCTGCAACGAACCGTATCAGAGTTCACATGACCACCTTTTCAAGTGAAATCTGGTATGGTTTGCTGGTGCACGAAAGTGTTATTTTAGCATCACTGAGATACTATTATAGATTTTACTAATATTTCGTTATTTTTAATTTTATGTTTTCATTTTCATTTTAGTTAAAGTTTTATTTGTTTGTTTTTAATGTCTATATAATTGTTATTTCAGTTTTAGCTTTAGGTATTTTAGTACATCAAGTTGAAAATGAGAAATAATGTTTTGGCAAATAGCTTAAATAAAATTTGTTGTTGTTTAGTTTTTTTCCTCCAGTTAGTGTTTATTTTATTTCAAGTAATGAAATTGTGTTTTTATGGTTTTAGTTTTAGTTTTATTTAACTATAATAACCCTGGTGCGAGAGTTTGTAAAACCGTATTCACTTCATCCAACCGAACTTTCACGTCAAAGAAACCTGGATGCGCACCAGAAGTGGTAGTGTGAAAGCACCCTTCTTCAGGCCTAGAAGTAGAGGTCTTCTCGGGTCCTAAAATCTGTACCCGACCCGAATCACTTCTTACCCGAACCCGACGTGCATAAATTAATTTTTTTTAAAGAAAAACCCAACCCGAGACGGACCCGATGAAATTAGACCCAAGTCCGACCCGACAGCATTTAATTTCGAACCCGACTGGACCCGAACGTAAATTGGCGTGTGTACAGCCTGCAGCCCCACAGTCAGTCAGGAAAAATCCCGGTGTCCTGCTGACTGATTTGGCCGCTTCTCCATTACTTTGATTTATTTAACATTTATTCAATTTATTATTAGGCTACTTTATATTAGTGCCTGCCTGATGGATATAAGTTATTGAGCTCGGCTTTCAATTGTGACAAGTGGATTTGAAAAATAAGTTTGATAAAAAACTAATCGATAGTCTAATAATTCATGGATTTGCTAGTGTTGTCTGCAACCTGATCTCCGGCGAAAGGCTTCTGCACACAAAAAAGAAAAGCCCTATATGAACAGGCAGCATAATGAAGCAAGTGGATTGTCTATAAGATATAGACATATCTATAAGATGATTTTTGTGCGCGAGGTTACAAACGTATGCTCCTTTTCTATGTGCGTTCCTCACTTAACATGAAAGTGAAAGTAGCCTATGCATTCGGGATAGTTTAAAAGAATTCGGGTCTAATCGGGTCCATTTGGAAAAAGCATGTTTATTTTAAATTACCCGAGACCAAAGGCTGCTAATACTGAACCCGACCCGTGTCCGAGGTACTCGTCGAAGTTTTGGACTCGAACTCACTCGGGTCTTGGGTCGAACCCGCTCTGGTTTTCAGATCCAATTGGACCCATGAAGAACTCTACCTAGAAGCACACACTTAGACAGGAAGAGATGTAATCCATTTTGTCAAATCCATAATGCCACTAAAAATGTGATTATATCATCATCTCCAAATTCTTTAAATATAAATCTTTGTGTCTTTCCACAGTCATCAACGCTGGAATGAGGAAGTTTTACTTGCAGGCGAATGATAAGCAGGATTTAGTGGAGTGGGTCAGTGCACTCAACAACGCCACCAAAATCACAGTAAGTCCCTGACCCTGGATCAGATTCCTCTTAAAGGGTTAGTTCACCCAAAAATGAAAAATCTGTTATTAATTACTCAACCTCGTGTTGTTCGAAACCTGTAAGACCTTCGTTCATCTTCGGAACACAATTTAAGATATTTTTGATGAAATATGAGGGCTCTCTGACCCTCCCATAGACAGCAAGGTAACTACCACATTCAAGGTCCAGAAAAGTACCAAGATGATCGACAAAGTAGTCTGTGTGACATCAGTGGTTCAACTGTAAAGTTACGAAGCTACGAGAATACTTTTTTGCGCAAAGAAAACAAAAATAAGTATCATGCGTATAAGTAAGTAATAAGTAAGCGGCGCTGACCCAGATCCGGCGTAATGACATCATCACGCCGGATCTGGGTCAGCGCCGGCGCCGCCACACGCTCGCTTCATGGTACTGTCGTGAACGCGCGTCCACAAGTGACGCAGTAGAGACGAAAATGTGGAATAGAGTCGTTATTTTTGTAGAGACGAAAATGTGGAATAAAGTCATTATTTGAGTTTTCTTTGCGCGAAAAAGTATTCTCGTAGCTTTGTAACTTTACAGTTTAACCTCTATTGTATTTTGTTACGCCGCGCCGCTCGCATCCGGTGTAGATGGTGTAAGTCTGATTGGGGATTAAACTGATGATCCTGTAACCACAATCAAAATTTTACTGCTATTAATGGCTTTGCGTGTCATTCTTCGCCTGAAATATGGTGAATAAAACGAAAGAGGCCGTGGGTGAAGCACACTTTATGTGAAATATGCGCATTGTCATGGCTACGGTTCGTGGCCACGTCAGATTATGTCAGAGTTTGTTGTAGTTTGTTGGAAAATCATTTCACACTGCTCAGACATTCCAGTCGGGTGAAAACAAACTCCAACCAACACCAACAAATGCCAACAGGGGTAACACACTGATCCAACAAACTCCAACAGACTAGTTTGTTGGTGTTTGTTGGCGTTTGTCTGTGCAGTGTGAATTGACCTTTACTAACCGGAGAAGAGTTCAAATGGTTCTCCGAACTGCAGATTTGGATAACTGGATCCTGTAGGTGTACAGACACAATTAGCCTACATTAAATACAATTTTCTCTATTAAAATTGAATAAGAAAATAATCAATCCATCCATCCATTCTCCAAACCACTCATCCTGTGTAGGGTCCTGGGTATACTGAAGCCTATTCCAGCATCTTGGGCCATAGACTAAGATAATTAACTGAGATAAGTGAACAATAAAAATCAAACAAGAGAAATGTTATGATATATTATTTTAATTCATGAGTCACTTGTGTTGGCCAATCATTTTTTCATATTTATTTATTTTTTATTTTTTTGCAATTTGTTAAAATACATAAATACACATATTTTTTAATATGTATGCATTAATGGGACACAGTATTGCAACAATTTCTAGTATGCCTCACACAGACATGCACTCCACTCAGCTTCACGTAGGTGATGTTATTCCCTCCAAAGAGCTTTCCAAGCACCTCGTGTCTGATCTTGTCTCACGACTGCTGGAGTACAATAATTATCCCTTGAGAAAATGGCACTCTCTCACTACACTTCTCTAAAATGCTATTGCATGGCAGTTTCACCATTATTTTCTTGTAGGATGAAACAGTCTCATTTTACTGGGATGATTGTTTAGTTAGCGACTTGGCATGTAGAAAACATCTAGTCATCTTATAAAATTAACTAAAAGTGGTGTGATGCTGTGTTTGTCGTGATTTGGATTAGGTTACTAATGGCGTTTTTAGTTTATTTTTCTGGAAAAGATCTTTAAAATTCAATCCTTCCACCTCTGGTCACCCATGTAGGTTGGTTGTCTTCTTTGTATTACCTAACATTTGGGAAAGGATACTTCATTTAACATTTTTCACTTTTTTTTTTTAAATGCATAATATTGATCAGAAGTATTTAAAGAATCTTATAAATGCATGCTTAAAAATACGGAATTAAATCGTTCATGAATTTGATTTGTCTGTCAAATCAATTTGAATTGTTCTCAATATAACAACATTGTTTGAATGTTAATTTCTAATAACTTTGTTTGAATGTTAATGGCAGTATTATCATGCAACGCAGGATGTGTTTGCCGCTGGATGCTAACATGCTAATATAATTACAATTGACCGTTTGTTTTGGGTCAGAGGCAGCATGTGTAGTGATGGTGTATTGATCAGGGACGTGTTTTTAGCCTGAAGGCACTAAACGATGAACTGCCATGCACACAGAAGCTGCTGTAGTGTCAGTCAGGCTTTACTAGCAGGCGTGCTGATCACTGTATCGGCTGGACCAGAAGGACAAATTATTCATTTACACTGAGGGGAAATGTCTAGTTTTGTCTAGTCTAAATTTCAGAGTTTTTTATTGCAACAACATGAAAAGCATTACAAACTTTGCTACTTATTATTATTCTTCAACATTAGAAACACTAATTGGCATCAGTAAGATTTTTAAAAAGTCTCTAATTCTCACCAGGGCTGAATTTATTTGATCAAAATTACTGTAAAAACAGTAATATTGTGAAAAATCATTGAAATTTAAAGCAACTGTTTTCATTTTTAATATATTTAAAATGTATTCCAGTGATAGCAGAGCTGAATTTTTAGCAGCCCTTACTCCAGTGTTAAATGATCCTTCAGAAATAATTCTAATATGCTGAATTTTTTTTCAGGATTCTTTGATGAATAGAAAGTTAAATAGAACATCATTTATTTGAAATAGAAATCTTGTAACATTATAAATGTCTTTTATTGTCACTTTTGATTAATGTAATGTATCCTTTCTGAATGAAAATATTAATTTCTTTAAAAAATAATATGTAATATTATTATATAAATATACTGTATATTGCTGACTCCAAACTGTAGTGAATGTGTTAAAGTTCTTCAAACCTTCTGCTGTTTCTGGTTGTGTGTAGCACCTACTGCTCTGTAGTAGATCTATCTGAAGTATAAACTATATGAACCCCAAATGGAATGGTTTGATCTGGACCTTTTTTTAATTATAGAACTTGTAAATACTCATATAAAGAAAGCAGCTGTCGCATACAGATTTGCTATGCTTGTTTGTCTTTTCTCGTTTCTTCTCCAGGTGCCGAAGTCAGGAGAGCAGGTGGCTCATAATACAACAGAAGCTTGTGTGGACACATCGGGTGCCATGAAACAAGTGTCCTACAGGACCGAAATCATTGCAGGAGTGCCCATCATCACCACCACACAGGTCACTTAACCTCACGACACATTAACATATATTAAAGGTGGCTCCGCTGAAAAAACAAAATCCTGTAAGATTCACTGAGCAGTACCATGATATCAGATGGTTTATACTTTGATATATATATGTTGTGGTACTAAATGATTACCACTTTAATTTACCATGTGTTTGTGCAGTATCATTACTGATGTAGCTAATGCAACACATTTGAATAAAAAAAATGGATGATATAATAAACTTTGTTGTATGGCACTGGCTCTCAGGAGAAGGGCGAGGATCAGAATGGTGCAGACAGGAGCGGGCAGAGGAAACCTCCCAGTCAGCTGCCGTATTACTTGAGCCGGAGTAACCAAGACCAGTCAGTCATTAAAGCTGGATATTGTGTCAAACAGGGAGGTGTGGTGAGTAAGAAGTGCAGAATAAGTTTGTATTTTAGTTTTTTGTTGAGTATCATATTTCATCAATCAGATTTTTATGGCTTATATAGTATGTTATAGGAGAATACGGAGCTCATACTCGAGGAAGGGGGGGAAAAACACACTTTTAAAAATGTAAAAATATACACTTTTATGCAGTTGCTGATATTTATATGGCCAAAAAGTAAGATGAAGTTCTGTTTACTTGTAATGTAAGCTAGTGAGATATTTATAACAATATAGCAGACTACTAAATAAAATATGTATGCATATGAAAACATACAATGTAATGCAATACAATGACTGAGAGACAAATAAACATTCCTTAAAACCTGATGTATCATATTTAATACTCACATTTTAACACGATTTTTCTAAAATATTGATGTTGTATAGATAATTAAGTAAACCTATGTTGCTTCAGTCAAGTAAGTGTTCATCTTAAAATATTAGTTGCAATATTACTTAACACTCCACTATTTTTGAATGTATATATATATATATATATACAGTACTGTAATAAATCTATATTTTGAAACTGCAATCCTGTAGAATGCACAAGAACGCTGCGGTTTTACTTGAAAAAGTGCAGCGCTCATATTTATTTAATGAAATCATAGCCTTTTGAAGTTTAATAATCACATTAGGCTGTATCGCAATTGTTTTGCTATCCTCAAATGAACACTCCACTATTTTTGAAAATAGGCTCATTTTCCAACTCCCCTAGAGTTAAACAGTTGAGTTTTACCGTTTTCTCATTCCGGCGTAATAATCAAGGAACTCTGCTGCCTTACCATGGGTGCAGCAGGCGCAATGATATTACGCAGCGCCTGAAAATAGTCCCCATGGAAGTTACCTAGCTGGGGACTATTTTCAGGCGCTGCGTAATATCATTGCGCCTGCTGCACCCATGGTAAGGCAGCAGAGTTCCTTGATTATTACGCCGGAATGAGAAAACGGTAAAACTCAACTGTTTAACTCTAGGGGAGTTGGAAAATGAGCCTATTTTCAAAAATAGTGGAGTGTTCCTTTAAGTCAGTGGTTCTCAAACTGGGGTACGCGTGTACCCCTAGGGGTACGTGAGATGACGGAGGGGGGTACGCAAATAAAATTCTGAGTTTTGGCATTCATTTAATTCTACCCCAGAAATAGTGGAGTGTTCCTTTAATAAAACTCAGTAAAGATTTCACAGAAAAAAGACTTGTGTACCACAACCTGAAGGGGGATGTTATTAAAATTTTACTAAAAGGCCTTTTACTTCCTAAAAATGTGTAATCTTTTGTGCAAAACTGTGTACGAGTTTTTTCAGCATTGTCATGTTAATAATTTAGAGGATTTAAAAATGTGCATATTAAATATGATCCAGTAGGCTTTATAGTGTGTTTGTAGTGAAAATTAGATGAAGATTCACAAGCAAAAAAAGTTCCAGTTTCTATTGTAAATAGCATAGCAACGTATAAAGCACAGCTCACACAAAATCACTTTCAAACCTAGCAGCTTTCAGTTGGTCAGTGTGGCAAATTGACATGACCAACTTGAACATGGACGAAATCTGCCTGCAAAATTTTGCTGAGCAGTTGTAAGTATGACTTTAGCTCAAGTTGCCTTTCTGCAGTGTCCGAAATGAACCCCTGTCATGCACCAAATGCATAATCATACTGTCTACGTGATTTTAAAATCCGTCTAGGTTGGCAGCTCGGTAGTTTTTTTAACAGAGATGTCTTTCTGTCTTTCTCTAGATGAAAAACTGGAAAAGGAGATACTTCATGCTGGATGACAATACACTGAGCTACTTCAAATCAGACATGGTTAGTCTCTCCCTCTCTTGCTTCCTCCTCCTGCATCTCTCCACAGCCTTGCGCATTGCTGTTGTCCTTGAATTCTTCTTAAACCCATTGACCTGTTCAGCTCTTTGTTTTCATTGTGTTTTGCACCTGAGCGTCTGTGAGCCTGTCTATAAGCTCCCATCTGATAAGTGAAAGTCCGGCCTGTGTATTGTTCATGCCATCTGATCCTGTGTCCAATCACATTTCTCCAATGAAGCATATTTACATATGTGCCCCCAGAATTAGACCAATGACTCATGTGGGAGTGAAAGCTTGTGTCCAGTGGAGGCTATAAGACCATGTGTGTGTGTGTTCTGGTATATATCTGTG